CAGCGAGCATCGATTTGTGCTTCATTGCTTTTCAGACAAAAGCATGAGCCCTTTTTGGATCGAATTGTCACTGAAGATGAAAAATGGGTGTGTTATATCAACGTACGTCGTAGAAGGCAGTGGCTTGATCCTGGCCAAAAGCCATTTCCGAATGTAAAACCAGACATGCATCCAAAGAAGATAATGTTGTGCATCTGGTGGGATATGAAAGGTGTCATCTATTTCCAGCTGTTAGATATCAATCAAACGATTACCGCCAATGTCTCCTCTCAACAGTTGCAGCGATTAAATAAAGTTCTATCTCAAAAGCGACCGGCTTTGGCGAATCAAAAAGCCGTCATCCTTCTCCATGACAATAGTCGACCTCATGTGGCACAGTTGACTCAGCAAAAAATCGAACAGTTAGGATGGGAAGTTCTTCCGCACCCGCCGTGGTCACCAGACCTTGCACCATCCGATTATCATCTGTTCCTATCTCTTCATAACTACCTGTGCAATAAACACTACGAAGACTTCGATGAGCTGAAATCCGATCTAACTGCCTTTTTCGAATCAAAACCGGGTAGTTTCTACAGACGTGGAATTGAACTATTGCCAGAAAGATGAGCGAAGGTTGTCGAAAATAATGACGATTATATTGTTGATTGATGTTGCATATCTTTGTTGAAAAATAAAGTTATTGTTAAACCAGAAAAAAAAATTCTCAGAACTTACGCGCCAATGGGATAGTAAGCACACAGTAGTTTTTCGGTCAACAAATAGGCTATGCTTCATTATAGTTTCTTATTCTCAATGAATCACATTCACAATTAATTATGAACTGTTATATGATGAATCATAGAAAAAGATAGTTGACATGAATTAGTGTTTTCGTTGCATGGATTCTTTGGAGTATGATCGCTTTGCTTTCTATGCAAAGGCATGATAAACTACATTGATCAATGTTTGAACATACAACAGCAATCAATCCACATTGATTCTTTGGTAAATGTCTACAGTTTTTACACTATGCAATCCTTTAATTCTCTTTCTACATTTTGAAAACTTCACACTTGAAAATCATGCGTGGGGCTTAACTTTTAAAAAATGATCTAATCATCTGTATTGGAGTAGCACAAGCGTGTATAGTCATAGGTTATCATTTTGGCATCTTCATTGCTGCATACTCGATAAATACGGGACAAGACTTCCAATCGATATTGTGTATTAGGGAGAGATGTTGAAAGATTCATATGCTTGCATAAAGAGTGTCACAGTCAGTAATGTTAAATTGTTGCTAGATTGCTCGCATAAAACTTTTACTGAAAAAAAATCAGTTTAGATGAATATTGTTGATGACGTTTGTATTGAAGAGTAGAAGACATATCGCGATGACAAACAGAGATGAGAATAAGAAGAAAAGTTGATATGCAATGACAGAGCTCTTCTATTACGATTGCGTCCGTAAGATTTCCACAACTACACATCCTTTTGAACTGCGGTTTGCAACAAAATATAGCTTAGTGTTCATAGTCATTATTCACCGGAATCATTTCCAATCTGTCAACTACTTGATATCATTAAAAGTTGAAAAAGGTAAAATTATACTTTTTCAATTTGATTCAAAATTGATCGTGTACTAGTTTTTTTCTGAAAAATAACATCTTCGTATTATAATATCAAAATAATCAAGTTAGATTCAAATGTAAATTTTTTAATTGTAATACGAACTATTTATTAGACGTGAGTCAATGATAATATTATGGCGACTTGTTGACTTCAATAAGGATTGAAAGCAAATATGACATTCTTGTTCTTTTCAAATTTTTTTTATACACGTGTGTTCTATAGTGTGCAAAAAACTAAAACAATTCAGAGCCTTATTATAAGTCAACGTAGTCAAATCCGACTAATGGAACGAATGAGATCTTTGTTATATCTGCTCGGTATTTTATTCGAAGATATTGTGACTTTTGAAGAACAGTTGTAAAAAATTACACTGGTAAATTCTGCACACATTTTCTTCGTATATTGTATTCTACCCTTTTTTTCCTCTATACCTGTGAAGTTTAATATTCTCTCTCATCGGTCAGCTATTCTCGAAGTACCTTTATATTTCATTTTACGCAGTTGTTTGTGAAAAAAGAGAAGTCTTGAATCGTCTTCTTTTTCTTGTTCTATCATACAAAAGATCGCCTTCCTCATATAAAATTAGACATCATTAGGTTGAATAATCAATTGAATTTTCAAGTAGTATATCTGTTAGCGCATTATCTCGTGTTCAAAACATTTTTTATGGGTTGTCTAAAGTACTTTATGGCACCAGGACGTAAAGAATATTCTGAAGATTTCAGAAATTCAGTAATTAAACGAAATCTAAACGATGATTCACGGAGAGAAATTGCTGAATATATGGATATGCCTCGAACAACTGTTTAGGCAATGAACAGAAAAAGAGACAACAAAACGTGTTGATGAACTTATTCAAAGAACATTGATCTCTGATCGATGAAAATTATCATTATCTATACAAGAGGGTGTGGGTTGCACGAAAGAAACCATTGATGACGGATAAAAACAAACGAAAAAGTTTGATCTATGTCGCAAAACTTGTTGAAAAAGATTGTTATTTTCTGGAGAATATAATTTGGTCTGATGAAACTAAATTCAATTTATTTGGTTTCGATGGAAAGTGATGATGTGGAGAAATGCTGCTGAAGAATTTGACCGAGATTATATGCGTCCAACTATCAAACATCATGAAGGAAATATAAAAGTTTGGGGTTATTTCAGTCGACAAGGTGTAGGCAACTTAGTATTCGTGGATGGAATTTTAACTGATGAAAAGTATAAAGATATTCTTTAAACAAGTCTGTTTCAGTCAGCAAGAAAAATTGGATTTCGATTGAATTTTATTCTCCAAGATGATAATGATCTCAAACACAGATTACATGTTGTAACAAAATGGTTAGATGAGAAAGATGTACAACGTTTAAATTGACTATCTCAAAGTCCTGATCTCAATCCCATAGAAAATCTGTGGAATGAATTAAATCATTATGTTCGAAAACGTATACTACTACCAAAAAACGAACATGAGTTAAAACAAATGCTGGTAGAAGAATGAAATCAAATTGAAGATAATGTCATTCAAACATTAATTGATTCTGTCCAAAATCAATTAGATGAATGTATAAAACAAGGAGGATTTCCTACTCGATATTGCTATTATTTTATGAGAAACAAAAAAATACAGATTTTCACAAAAACAAAAATAAAAAATTTGAAAAGAAAAAGAATGTTATATTTGCTTTCAGTTCTTATTGAAATCAACAGATCGCCATATTATTATCATTGGCTCCCTTCTACTAAACAGTTCGTATTACAATTAAAAAATTTACATTTGAATCTAACTTGATTATTTTGATATTATAATAAGAAGATGTTATTTTTTAGAAAAAAGCTACTGTACAATCAATTTTGAGCCAAATTGAAAAAGTATAGTTTTACCTTTTTCAACTTTTAACTACATCCAGTAGTTGACAGATTGAAAGTAATCGTAGTGAAAGATGACTATGAACACTAAGCTATATTTTGTTGCAAATCGCAGTTCAAAAGGATGTGTAGTTGTGGAAATCTTACGGATGCGATCTTACTCGTCAGTTGTACGCGCAGTTTTGAGTACCACTGTAGTTACATAAAAATGGAGAAAGGAAAATGATACAAATATTTTATTTATATTAATAATACATATACCTATTATTATAATTCGTCTTCATATTTATCGCCTGGTGTTGATAATGATTGATATGTCGGTAAGCCGTTGCTTTGATAAAGTTGCTTTTGACAACTCTAATAGAAACTATAATTTAACTCATTAATATATGTCAATAAATACACCTTTGTTACTAAATATTTTCACTTACCTGATGTTGATATGCAACTCATACATTATTTGAAAAGAATATCTTTTGTTCGTTTAAGTGGACACAACAACTATTAACTGTCGTTGCTTAAAAATGAATAAATCGTGCACAGACATTGATATATATATATATATAGATAGATAGATAGATAGATAGATACATGTATACAAAGACATCATGCGACGTGCCTTGAAGATCAGCCAAGAATCTTGTCTGAATTTCAAGCAAATTGAAATATCTTATGGTTCTTTCCAGATTCTTGTTTTTCTTGATAGTCTGTCAAAATTCTTTTTTTTCTTGAACTTCGGGTAAGAATCTTTTTTTCCTTTCCTGCCAAAAGAATCTTATCTGATCAATCAAGGAAAACAAGAATCTGGACAGAATAGATCCAAGAACATTGACTAGTGTTTGATGTTGTTTCAAGTTTCATGAGATAGTTTTTTTTTCGATATTTTACAATAAAGGAAAATGAAATTAAGATTTAATCTGAAAAAAAAACGACTGAGTTTCTGATTAATGAGAAAAAGATCTAAACTGTGTAAAGATTCAACTTAGATTTGCATGTAAAGTTTTTTTTATTTACTACGCTAGTACTCAAAAGCATTTCATGTATCATTTTTCCTTTGCATTTAAATAATTCTACTTTTTCAAAAATGAATTTTTCATTGGTAGAATTCTACAATTAGACTACTTTAAAAAATTCTTAAACTATTCCATTGCACAATATTTATTTTCGTATATATATACAAAACATTTCTGAATACTATTTTTATTTTATGTCATGTGGTGTATTTGCCCTTTAAAATAAGAGATAAGCGCAAAAAAAACAATTAAAAAACTCTACATATTCTTTTACTTTGACCGGCCGCAATTGCTCTCACATTTTTGTTTCCTTATCTATCAATATTTTTTTCTTTTTCTCAGTCTCATAGTTTCAATATGAGCAAACGAATAGTAATATTTTTTTAAATGCGTCTATCAGATTTTTCTTATCAATGTCATAAGACTGATGCATGAGACAAATATAAGACGAGCCCCAAGGGTAATGGCGTATGAAATATATTGTATCCTGTAGTTCATATATCATTCGTTTCAATGATGGATACATGCGAACACAACAAAAAGGTATTTATCAGATTTTATAGTTTTTCAACTGCAAACCAGATGGGAAATGAAATTTTTTGATTGAATCTTCGAAGTTAGAAGACATCATTTATCGAGTAATCAGATTTGTTAAATCAAGAATTTTCTTCGTTTAAACAATCGATAGATTCATCTTTTAAAAACATGGATCTCACAGAACGTATTTATTTTTAACAGGATATTTCAAAAGTATTCGCTTTTCTGCGAGCTCAACTTCAAACTAAAGAAAAAGAATTACTTGAATTACAACGAGTTAATCCATGTTTATTAGCACCTGACTCAGATCAGATCGGCATGGTGGTTGATGCAATCGCTTCTCTTGAATTGTCTACTCAAGAAGGATCATTTGTTTTTGCATCGACTTCTGTTTACGATGATGCCCTACTCTGTACGTACGATTGTTCAACTGGTTTGAACTCAATCAAAACTCTTCCATCTTCAGTTTGGCTTGCACAATCGAATCCAGTGAAACAAAAAAATGAGCAACAATCATTCATATTTAGCCATCTTTTATCATTACCTATCAACGCTTATCTAGCATCATCGTCTCCATTTTTCGGAACAACAGCTAAAACACAAAATCAATCATTAAATCGTATACCTATGATTAATCCCTTACTCTTTATGCCTATTGATACCTTCAAAGCATCTTCTAAAATTTCTATGTCGACTACACTCAAAGATAATAAAAATGTGTACGTATATTTGATAATTTTCTCTAATGGGTTCAGTTTTGGGCTTGCTTCCATAGTCAGGATCAATACATTGAATTAATCTTTCATTCTAAAATTAAATGTATCTTTTTTTTTTAATATTCATATTTAGTATCTTATTAGTTCGATAAAGAAGAGAATCATTGCAACAACAATTTTAAAATCATAAATATTCAGTATTTGATTTTATTTTCAGGCAAAACAATGTGTCATCAACATCAGAAAAACCGAAGAGTATATTGAATAGCGAGGTGATTTTTTCGAAAGAATATTGGCTTCAAGACAACCAAAATGTATCGTCTACAGCAGATAAAATATCTTGTCGTACTTGATACAATGGAAACGTCTTTGACTTCGAAAAATGATCTTCAACAAATCTAATCAATCTAGTTTACACACAAAAACTATATCAACATTGAACTTTTATTGATTTGCCTTTCTTTACAAATATAATCATTTTATCTATTAGTTAATAAATGATTAACAATTTAATACATTATTTTTGTTTTTATATTGAATATTTAAACATGCAAATATTAATTGATTTCAAATATTATTTGTATTTCGTAAGAAAGTTTGCGTGCTTTTCACACAAAGTGACATATGTTTAAGAAGTTTGTGAAAAAGATATAAATAAATAGTGATATGAAAATTGTTTAATTCTTTCGTAGTAAAAATGTTTTCCTTTACTAGATAACTATTCATTCGTTTTTTTTTGAATTATAAAATTATGATTATCTTTAAAAGGATTCGTGTCAAGCTTTAAAAAAAATTATTAAACTCAGATTTAGTTCATCTGAATTGAATTATTTAACAATTCGAAACGATTGCAAGCTCTAATCTTTATGCATCATGTAAATATGTAAGCTATTAAATTTGCTGTTGTTACAACAAAAGCGAAGATGAATACAATTCGCAAAGTTTAGCAGTAGCTTATACATTATTAGAAATTTATCGAAAGTTCGATTTCCAAACACTAAACTTGTTCTGTTTATTTTATTTGTAAATTAATCATGCAGTCTGTATTGTGGAAAAAATTTTTGTACGTTTTTCAGATGCAAAAATTGTCCTTTTTAAGCGACTTCATGCATCTTTTATTATTAAAGTAGATGGTTTTGATGTTTTCTGAATGGACGTGAAAATGACCAAACGGGAACCGCACTCAAGATGTTCCAATGTGTTTTCAAAAATTCTTATCTGCTTTGGTATTCTGACAAAAGTGACTGAAGCTGCACACTGAAGTTTTATCGATAATAAGAAAAAATTCTTATGTACTGTATAATTTTCAATACGACAAGATTAACGAGTCATTATTCCAACTTTTTTTTGTAAGTAAAAACTCGAAAAATTACCGTTCTTCACTTTTTTTTAATGGTATAACGGTATGATGTCAATAGTTATTAATGAATCATAAGAGATGTTTCAAAAGTTCTGAAACAATCTTAAAATTCATTGCTCTTGTATTCAACACAAGCAATGTTTTTTTTTGTTATTTTGGCAGATTATTTTACCTCAC